ATAGAACTCCACCGAAGGTCCCAGAGGTGCAGCCCGCATGCGTCACGCACACAAACTTCGGCACGCACACACACACACACACACACACACACACACACACACACACACACACACACACACACACACCACGTTGCGCGGCCCCATTGGGAGCTCCACCGAAGGCCCCACTGCCCGCATGCGTCCGCCACAGCCATGTCGGCGCACGCCCCGCACGCTTCGTGGCCCCATAGCGAGCTCCACCGAATGCCACAGCGCCGCCGACCGCATGCGTCCGCCACACCAACTTCGGCACACCATTCACACGTATCGTGGCCCCGTACGGAGCTCCACCGAATGCCCCAGCCACCGCCCGCATGCGCCCGCCTCGCAGATTTCGGCACACCCTTCACACGCTTCGGGGCCCCACAGGGAGCTCCACTGAATACGGCAGTCACACGTGCGTTTCGCACAGTTGCATATGGCTGGGTCACTCGCCAGGCTAAGTTTGTCAAAGCGAGCTTCTCATGAGAGGGCCCCAGAAGCAAGCGGTCGATCGGCATCCGACGGTTATGCCGCCTGGGCCCAGTCATCTAGTTACCCTAGATGGCGGTTTTCAGATCAGCATTCAGTCTACGCGGCAACCATCGCGCCCCCCAAGGATTTCCCTTTCGGCCCGGCCCCGAAACCATTCAGGCAGTTAATCGAGAAGCGCGATGCCGAGCGCGCGTGCGAAGCAGCCCGCGATCCTTGGGCCCCGCCCCGCGCTGCCCGGGCGACGCGCTCGAATGCCCGAGGTCGTTTTGCCGCCGCCGCGGCGCGCTATGTCGGAGAGCGCGCAGGCCAATCGCGAAGGCATTCCGGATCCGTTCTAGGCAAGATTAAACATCGCGGCGGGTGGAAGTACATTGAACAGCCAAGACTTCGAGCGACGCGCAATTTGTCGCCGAAGGCTGGAAGCGGCACCGGGACGACGTTGGCCAGGCCGTCGCTTTCTCGCGCGCTGTCGATACACGATGATTAATTTGTTTCAAGTTTTTAATTGGCAGTGTCTCAGGGCCAGCCTCAGCTCGTGGCCGGGCCCCCCCGTCGCTGCAGCTCGCGTGCTGGCAGGGTGGCAGGGTCTGACGAGGCCCCCCATAATCTCCGGAGCAACGTCGAGTCGGGCGCCGAGATGGCCGCCGAAGGGGAAAGCAAAGAGCAGAGCAATTCGCGGGCGGATTGGCGCGTCGCAGCCAAGGCAGCAGGAGAGCGAGATCTCCGCGAGATACCGCTGCCCGTCGAGCGCGAGCCGCCCCCGCCGCCCACGGCCCCGGCGGCCCGACAGCAGACGCAGCCAACATAACAGAGCGGGAGGCATCCTGCATGAGAAACTGCGGCGCGCATCTCCCGAGGTCCCTGGCCCGCGATCGCGCCCCCTGCGATCGAGCGGACGGCGACGCGGGAGCGGGGGGCAGCGTCTCGCGCCAAACCCCAAACAGCTTCGGACAGGCCCACCCACCCCGCGTCGCCCTAGGCCCTAGCCGTCGACGATGAAGGCCCCGCGGTTTTAAGGGCGCCCTGGCAGGCCAGCGGGGCCGTCGGATTGCCTTTCTTCGCCGCGCGCCGCGCGCGGCCCAATCCGACCCCCCGCGCGCAGGGGGCCGGCTTAAAGTTTTGCGCGCAGGCGCGCGCCAAGCGCGGCATCGCCCACGCAGGCCGTTGCTGGCCGAAGTTTTTCGCCCGGCCGATCGACGCCAGTGGGGGCGCGTTTCCGGGGGGGCCGGCGGCGGACCGCGCGCGGCCGAGGGCAGCCCGCAGCGAGAGCGACGCGGGATCGTAGAAGCATAGCTTGCCTCCCGCGGCGGATGTCTCCACATAATGAAACGACCTTCTTGGAAGTTGGAAGCGCCCGGGGGCGAGCCCCCCCGACTTCGGCCAGGCGAGTTGTTTAAATCTAGTTCACAGAGCCCGGAAGGGGCTCGGGCTTCCCCGTCTAGGGCAACACCGCGCGCATACCTTTTTTGAAGCCATAAATAGGCGGCGGGGCGGGCGTTTTCTAACAATTTCGATCAGGGCACATGCTCTCCAGGAGTCGACGCGCTCCTAGTCAGGCAGCCTCTGGGAGATGTTATGCAGCCGTCTAGACCGCAGCAGCACAGGTGCGCCCAGCAAAGAAAGACAACCGCAAAGGCACGGCCGTTGCTGCGGGTCGGCGGTTTAAGGAACCCGCCAGGCAGCCCAAGGCCAACATGAAGTATAATTTCGCCGGCGCTTCTAAGACCGAGAGTCTAGCTCGCGCGGTCTGTTCCGAGCTCAGGTCCCACGCGGAGGCTTCGGCCCCAACGCGGCGCATCTTGGAGTAGAGCAGCCCCGCGCAACTGCGCGCACGCACGAGGTCTGGCACTAGGGCCCAGCAGAGGAGCGGGCGCCAGAAAATGCGAATGAGACTCACGAAGCACAAGAGGCGGGCACGCACGGCGGCAGGATGCACTGAGAGGACCTTCCAAGGCGCGTTGGCACTTCCACAGACGCTGATGTTGGCGCCGAGGTCCTCGGACTAAACGATGACGAGCGGTTTCAGTTCCGGCGGATCCAGAACAGAGTCAATTTCGCCACATCATAGAGGCGCGAGCCTCAGAGCCAAGACCGCCCTGTTCAGGGACGAGGGCGAGGAGAGATCGGCACTAGAGCCCGCCTTGCAGAGGTGTCGCTTGTTGTGGCAGGCCCAGGACGACGCTGACCGAGCGCCGGCTTCAACCGAAATGCCTTGCCCAATGCGGCGCAGGGCTCACGCGAGCAACCCCAGCAGTTAGGACGATAGCAAAGGGCCCCTCGCTCTTCGCACAGTTGGAATGCCCTTGGCCTCGCTCTTCGCACAGACAACGACGGTCTGCAGGTCAACGATTGCCAGCTGAAACCAGCGCTGCTTTTAGATATGATGGAGGCGGGGATGCAGCGCCAGCACGAGTTTACACTCCCGCGCAAGCTGAACCCCCCACCAGGTCCACGGTGCTGCAGTTCATTTTACTCGCGAACCGAATTAAACGCTGACCAGCAAAAAGTGCCCACGACATCGGAGATCCATTGCGCACCGCCGCACTTGAGATGCCTTGTTGGCCGACGGGCGAGATCGACTCGCAGGCGACAAAGCCACAGACGAAGATACCCCCCGGCGCGCGAGCACGGCTAAATAGACATAGGTGCGGACGGATTCCGGCACGAAGCAGGTTCAAAAATGTCTACGAAATGCTGCGCGGGCGACGTCGGCCCGAACACCAGAGAGCGACGACGTTGCGGAAGTTCTCTGCGGCCCCGCGATTGGACCCCCCCCCCAGGCCCCCGCGCACGCGGAGCACCTTGCGCGCGCATTGGCAGGCCAGGTCTGAGATAGGGGGAGCCACATGGGTTTCTGATGGCTTGACAGTAGTAACCCATGGTAAGCCAGCATGGGGGATCAGGTCCGCCCCACCAACAAGCATGCCACAGTTCGTTCGGTTGCAGGCCCGCTTCCTGGTACCTCCAATACCACGCGTACTCGCCATGCGAAAGCTCATCGGGGTGATGAAGCGGTCGCCATCCTGACTGGTAACGAGTTTCGTTATACCCAGACGAACAATCTGCATTTGCCCAGTGGAAGATCGCACTGGGCCCTGACTGTCTCTAGGCAGCGGGGACAGCCCAGTCGCGATACACCAAGTTTGTCAATTAGGCGGTTGCTGTTTCCCACCGCTTCCAGAACGATATCGGGCGGCCCGGGCTTCCGCCCCGCAGACGCCCCCAGGTTAGGCTTTGCCCCAGCTTTCACGCACGGGGCGCGACCGCAGCGGCGCCCATTTGCAAGCGGCGTTTGGAGAGGGCGCCGCCTGGGGATTCGCCGCCGACGGACGGCGGCAAGGGCGCGCCCTCGTTCCTCTCCAGGCTTCTGGGGGGGGTCCAAGTTGCAAGGGGCGCAAAGTTGTCGCGGCCCAGGGGCCATTCGCCTGCGGCGGCCGTCAGACCCCAGGACGCCCGGCGAGGGGCAACGCACAGCAGCCGCCAGGTGCAACGGGCGGGGCGCGGCCCCGGGGCCGAGGGGCCCAGCTGAGCAAAGTGCGCCCCCCCCCCTCCTCACCCACCACCAAGAAGGGGGGCATCTTTTCCAAAGGGGCTGCGCATTCGGGAAGGGGGCTTCTGCGGGGTCGCTGGGCTGCGCTCGTCTCGCTCGGTCACTCGTCGCGCGCTTTGCTGGATTCGGCTCGCGCGCAGGCGCCCTGTTCCAAGGGCTGGGGTCTAGCGCGAGCAAGCAGATGTGGAAATCCTGCGAGCTGTCAAGACGGGGCTCGGCCCCAACCCTCGCCTTCGATTTGTGCTAGACCGAGATATCCCGTTCCCGCGAGTCTCCGTCACGGCGCATGGCCCGAGTGCTCGCGGAGCGCAGCGGGCGCTTCGCGGCGGGATGAAAGGGGCTCGCCCCCGCGCGCCTGCCGCCATGTGCGTCGGCAGCGCCAGGGGAGAGCTCGCCCCGAATATCCGCGCAGAAGGGCCCCCCGAGCCAGGAGAAGAGGATCAGGATGCATCGCGCGTGCGAGGTTACGTCGGTCATCTGACCAAGCATGCTTCTTGCTGCGGAGATGCCACCTGACGTCTTCGGAGCCGCCTTTTCTTTTCCCCCCTCCTTTTCCTCCCCGTCCTTCCCGCACCCCCGCGCGCGAGGAAGCGAACGCGACGACGACGGCGAAGTCGATGGCGCGGCGACGGCGGCGACGGCGACTTCCCATCTTGGCTCGGGCATGGCTGGGGCATCTTGCTTTTCTGCCCCAGGGAGGAAAGGGCCGCCGGCTGCGTCCTGCGGATCGCTAGTCGGCGGGAGAGAACATCTGTGACACGCCGCCGCTGGGAGCCCGGCAGCGCGTTACGCTTTCGTTTGTTTGTCCGCGTGCTTGGTTCTTCTTCAACAGTCACACGCAGATAGGTTCCCTCGGCGGCGCGTCATCGACGTCGCCCCCCCAGATGCGGGGGCGCGGTGGGCAAGGAGCGTCAGCCAAGACCCCCCCCACACACAGGAGAGCATGTTGGCGGAGCGCCTCGAGCTGCGGAGGGGCACGGAGCTGGTGATGCGGAGCAGGGAGTCCGAGCACTTGCGCCACGTGCGTTGGGGCGTCCTGCGGGAAAACGAGAGGCTCAGACCTGTTTCGGCCTTCCTCCTCGATCCGCCTTCTCCTCCCCCCCCTGTTCCTCCTCCTCCTCCTCGCTCTTCGCTCCTGCTGGTTTTCTTTACGCACCTCCTCCGCCACCTCACACTGATCCTCATCTTCCTCCTCCTCTTCCTCCTCCTCCTCCTCCTCCTCCTTCTCCTCCTCCTCTTCCTCCTCCTCCTCCGCCTCCTCCTCCATGGAGTCCCAGGACGTGAGTATGGAAATCCACACCCGGCCTGAAGATACAGATCTCTGTAAACAGCGTTATCACCTATCGGCGGTGGAGCTCACTGGCAGCGATGGCAAGGTCACTGTAAAAACACGGGAAGGCGGGGTAATGGGGGACCCATTTGTGGTAAAAACATTCCTGCACACGTTTTCTAGACCTATTATGAGATGGAGCAGAAATCTGATGGACGTGGACCCGATGGCGAAGGCCCTGAGGGGGAAGTGGGGCGACCTCCAGACCGATTTGTCGCTTCTAAAATACGCAGATGACCTGAACAAGTTTATCGTTGCAACTGAGGGTATGACGTTTGTCGATTTCTTAGATAAGATTTCTGAGATTGATGCTCTGTTGAACGATTCTCTCTCGGATTTTGGCCTGGCCCAGAATATGAGTAAGCAAGAGTTTCTGTTCTACTTCTCGGGAGCGGGCTCGCATTACTTTCGTAAACTGCTTCGTGCTGCTGATCGCTTCGGCCTGGCGGGGGTTCCTAAAGAAGACGCCAGGTACTTGGGCCCCCATCTCGCTCTTCGGGACAGCGCCCACCACGAAGTTGCCAGACGTTGCGAGGCAGCCAGGCGGGCCTTCTTCTCGCTGGGGGGCATTTGGTCGCTACCCATCGTTCGTCGACATAAACGCTCACTGCTACAAGGCCTGGTGCAAAACGCTCTGTTATCTGCTCTCGAGGCTTTCTGGCTTTCTCCTCGAGATTATTCTTTGCTGGATGGGTGTATGGCGGGGTTAGCACGTACAGCGATGCAGGGCAAAGCCACCGACTGGGAGGGGGAGCACGTGCACAGTATGAGTACGCAGCAGGTTCTGGATTTCTGGGAGCTCACGGGTTCCAGGGTCGAGCTACACGTCCGTCGCCTTCGGCTGTACCAAAGTTGGGCTGCTGATCCTGAAGGGGCTTCCCAGGTTCTTATTGCGCTTTTCGGGTCCCTGGAGATCGATTCCGCTCGGCCGCCGTGCTTGGGTGGAAAGCTGACTCAATGGGCCTCACCGTGGGCCCGTCAGGTGGTGGAGGATCTAAGTACAGCAGCCCAACTTATTGACGAGCAGTGCATTGAGGACGTTGCCCACGACTTGAGGATCCTGGCAGATCGTGATCGGAGTGTGGAGTTCCTGGCCATCGACACGACTAAGATTCGCTCGAGGGTCTTCTCGGTAGAGGTCCCACCCCTGGGTCATGCAGGCCAGATTTCAAGCAGTGGTCGCGTTATGCAGCCGGGTGACTACAAGGCGACCTCTGCAGCAATTTCCTTTGGTACGCATGTCCTGCCTGATGTTCCTGAGGGCCCCTCTTGGTGCTGTAATGTCCCTGGCTGCGAGAGCAGATTTCACTCGAGGAAGCAGTTGTTGAACCACCTTCGCTTTGCACATCACCAACGTAAACTCTCGGCTGTGCTTACGCCTACTAACATCTGTATTTGCTGCAAGGCCGTCTTTCGTGATAGGTGGTGTGCGGGGAGGCATCTAGAGACGGCCATGCTCAAAGGTACTTGCCCCGTGGGAGGAGGTCGCACGCTCTTGCCCCTGGTGCAACCGAATTCGTACTCGTCTCGTCTCTGCCAAAGCGAACAAGCTGATCTCGATGGGCTTTGCTGCCATTTGGTTCAACAGCATCTCCCAGTCCATGTGACGACACCCACCTCCGCTCGAGGTCGCGAGGATGGCGACGCAGGGGCAGGGCAGTGCAGATTTACCCCTGCCAGCGTGGTTCAAAGACAAGAAGCGCCGCCTCGAGGCCGGCGCCGAGGACGATGCGAAGGAGGGCGAGAAGGACAAGGGCGGCGCGAAGGAGGTCAGCATGGGCAAGGGCGGCAAGGGCAGCGCCCAGGCCAAGCTCGTGACCCTCATGGCGCGCCTCCTCGTCACGCTCGAGCGGGACGTCGTAGAGTTGAAGTCGACGGTCTACGAGTGCGCCGTCCTCCCAGCCGCCAATTCTCTCGTGGAGGCCAGCGTTCGCGCGGGCAAGGAGTACAACAACACCAGCAAGGACATGAAGAAGGCTCAGAATCAGGGCGAGGCCCAGGACTGGAAGGGCCGAGGCAGCCCACACTTGCACATTTTCATGACTTTCATGATCGCCGCCGTCTCGCTGTTCACGGAGAGGAAAGACGAGGAGATGAAGACGGTCGTGATCAAGGCCATGACGGACCTCAGGTCGGTCCCTCTGCCAGAGCTGGGGCTCATCGTGCGGGTCTTCCGCGTGCGCCTGCACAAGATCAAGGATGGCGAGGAGCGCACGGGCCACTTCGAGTGGGCGATGGACGGCAGGTCTCCCGCGGGCCTCGCACTGCACGAGCTGATGGGCAGGGTCATGACGAGCCAGTCGGCGGAGAGGATGGCAGGCCCAGCCCCGCGGGGCCCACTGGCGAGGGAGATCATCGGCCTGAGCAGCAAGAGCTGAGCCTCCCTGGCCTCCCCAGCCGCCAGGCCCTTCTCAGGAGTGAGAGGCTAGCAGAGTTGTTGCGCAGAGGCGCCGTCTCGGCCGAGGCGGTGCATCGCGCCACGCAGGTTCATATTGCTACATATTCCCATGCTGCTCTTCCGTCCATTCCTGTGGCCACTCTCGCCCCTGCCCGCCCCGCTCGTCCCAGGTCCCGCCCACCCCACTCTCAGAAAGGCCAGATAGGTGGAGCGAAGGGCTCACGCCCTGCGGGCGGCGCCCTATAGGGGATATCGTGCCCCTGGGGTTGCCGCTTGGGCCCGTGCCCCAATCGGGGAGCGCGCGGCCAGCACTGTGCAGAAGTCGGCGGACTGCCGCCCCCTCAGAGCCCTCGGCGTCAAGGACACGTCCCTGCCGCAGGACTCCGCGAGCTTGTCTTGTCTTGTCTCCTCCT